TTTGATTGTCATGAAGGATGGTCACAAAGCTACTATCACTGATGTGTTGTATGTACCTCCTATGACAAGCAACTTGATAAGTGTAGGTCAATTACTTGCAAAAGGCTTCAATATGAAGCTGGAGAAGAATCAAATAAAGGTATATAGGGTAGATGGGAGGATAATAATGAAATCACCATTGGCGGAGAACAAAACATTCAAAGTTGAACTCAACACATCAGATCACAAATGTCTTGCTTTAACTACAGAAGAAGACAAGAACTGGCTATAGCACCACATGTATGGACATCTAAACTTCATAAGTTTATGCATGCTCAATCAGAAAAGGATGGTGGTTGGGCTGACTTATGTGAAGGAACCAAAGAAGGTGTGTGAGGAATGTTGCAAAGTGAAGCAAAAAAGGAAGGAATTTAAACATGACTTTCCCATGAAATCAAAGCAAAAACTGGAGCTGGTTCATTCTGATGTGTGTGGACCTTTTCAAGTAAAGTTAAATGGAGGTAACATGTAATTCCTTAATTTCATTGATGAATTCACCAGATATATGTGGATTTACCTTATTGAAATAAAGAGTGAGGTATTCACACAATTCAAGAAGTTCAAATTGCATGCGAAGAAACAAAGTGGCTGCAAATTGAAGAAGTTAAGAACTAATGGTGGTGGTGAATATACGTCTGTTTAATTTGTTATATTTTTCAATGAGAAAGGTATAAATTATGAGGTTATTGCACCCTATACGCCTTAGCATAATGGCATAGCTAAGAGAAAAACTAGAAGTATACCGAACTTGATGAGAAGTATGTTGAAAGCTAAAGATATGCCTAAGAGATTTTGGGTTGGAGCAGCTTCGACAACAATATATATTCTAAATAGATACCCAAAGAAGAAGATGGTATAAAATACACCTCGTGAGGCTTGTACAGGGTCAAAGCCAAATATGATTCATCTTAGAGTTTTTGATCAATACGATCCAGGCATGTAGCTGAACAATTGAGAAAGAAACTGGATGATTAAAGTGAAGTCACGGTGCTCATAGGTTATCATTCGACTGATGCATACAAGTTGTGTTCGCCAAACAAAGATAAACTAGTGTCGGTCCAGATGTTCTTGTAGACGAAAGCAAAGGGTAGGACTGGAGTCGAAGTTCAGTTTGACAAGAATCAGATACAGTCACAACTATGTTCAAAGAAGATGAACAAAATGAAGCTTTAACGAGTCAAAATAAACAAGGTGATGCTTCAACCAGTCAATATAAAGAACCACCTTCATAAAATGAAAGAAGGTCGACAAGAACAAGAATTGAGTCGACAAGGCTAACTGGATATGAAAGGTTTTCAAATCAAGCAGTTGATGCAGATGGTGACTTAATAGAATAAGCCATGATGATGGCTGAAGCATGACCAATTGATTTAGATGAAGCCATGAGCAATTTGAATTGGTGTGAAGCCATAAAAGAAGAACTCAGAGCTGTTGAGAAGAACAAGACCTGGGATCTTGTCGAAAGAACGAATAAGAAACCAATCGATGTAAAGTGGATTTACAAGGTGAAACGAAGGCAAAATGATGAAATTGGGAAGTATAAAGCAAGATTAGTGGAGAGAGGTTTTCTATAAAAAACCTTGTATCGACTTCGACGAAGTATATGCGCCTGTTGTGAGGCTAGAAACAATAAGAATTGTTGTTTCGACAGCAGAATATAGAGGATGGAAGATACATTAGTTTGATGTAAAGTCAACATTTTTGAATGGTCTATTGGAAGAAGAAGTCTATGTTACTCAACCACCAGGATTCAACGTCAAAGGGCATGAGTCAAAGGTATATAGATTAAGGAAGGCTCTCCATGGTTTGAAACAAGCGCCTAGAGTTTGGAATAAGATAATAGATAGCTTCCTGATCAAAGTAGGTTTCACAAAGTGTGTCTCTGAACATTGAGTGTGTGTAAATGATATCAACAATGTCAGTCAAATCATTTTATGCCTATATGTTGATGATTTACTCATTACAGGAGCAAACGAAGCTGAGATAATAAAGGTAAAGTCGAAATTAATGCAGGAATTTGAAATGTCTGACTTAGAGAATCTTTCATATTTCCCAAGGATGGAATTAAAAGATACTGAAGAAGGAGTATTCTTACATCAAATGAAGTATGCTCAAGATATTTTGAAGAGGTTTAAAATGAGTGATTGTAATAAAGTTGTCAATCTTTTAGAAACTGGAGAAAAGTTGAAAAAGGAAACGAATGATAAGTTTGTAAGTTAGACCCTTTACAAACAAATCATTGGATCTTTGAGATATATTTGTAATACTAGACTAGATATCTGCTAAAGTGTATGATTGTTGAGTAGATTTATGGAGAAACCATAAGAGTGTCATCTCATCGCAGTAAAGAGGGTGTTGAGATACATAAAGGGAACAATTAATCATGGTGTGATGTTACCAAAGAAGTCGAAGAACAAAACAGATGTCGAAATCTATGGATACACTGACTCAAATTTCAGTGGAGATCAAGACGAAAAGAAAAGCACTGTAGGCTACATTTTCATGATCGAAGGTGCTGTAATCTCTTGGAGTTCGAGGAAGCAAAACATTATTCCTTTGTCATCATGCAAAGCAGAATATGTGGTTGCATCATATGCTGCATGCCAAGCATCATGGATCGAAATATTACTTGAAGAACTTAAGATAATGGAACCTAAGAAAATGAAGTTATTTTTTGACAACAAGTCAATTATTAACCTGGTAAATCACCCAATGTGTCATGGTCAAAGTAAGCACATAGAAAGGAGGTATCATTTTCTAAGGGATCAAGTCAACAAAGGGAAGCTGAAGATAAAGCATTGCAATATAGAAGTGCTACTATCTGGCATATTTACCAAACCTCTAAAGAAAGTCAGATTCGACGAGTTAAAGAGAAGCATCATGATGAGAAGTCTCGAGAACATGAATTAGGGGGTGTGTTAGAAGTGTAATTCTTGTTCTGGAGAAATATATATGATGGTGTATGTCGAATAGCTAGTTGAATGAGTTGTAAGTTATATTCGACAAAGTCGAATACAACAACTATGTAGTTAGTCAAAATTAAGAATGGGCTATAGCATAGTGAGTTGAATTGGGTCTGGGAATTATATGCCTATATAAAGGGCTTGTTAGTTTGTAATTCAACATTCAAAACTCATATTCAATACAGTTACAATTCAGTTAGAAGCATAACAAATTCTCTCTCTCTCTCTCTCTCTCTCTCTCTCTCTCTCTCTCTCTCTCTCTCTCTCTCTCTCTCTCTCTCTCTCTCTCTCTCTCTCTCTCTCTTCTCCTCCTCCTTCTTCTTCTTATTCTTCTTCTTCTTCTTCTTCTTCTTCTTCTTCTTCATAAATCATCTTTCTTGAAAACCCTTTGTTCCAACATCGACCATTGGTTAAAAGTATGAGATATTTTTTAACACTCCTATTTATAGAGCATAATGCAACTTATGTCACAGAGTTCACATGAAGTGGAGTAATATGGAAATAAATTTTTGATAATTTAGTTAAAAGTGATGAATATAGAGTGCACTATTATTACATTCTAAATCTAGCATAATATAGATTACAACAAATTCAATTCAATTTTTTCATTTTTTCTATAAAGAAAACTTGTATAGATAAAAGAATACTAAGGATACTTAAGCCTACAAGCAAAAGAAATTACATAGTAAACTCTTATAACAACAACAAAACCAATGAACCAAAAAAAATAAAATAAATGTTTTGAAAGACATTCTGTTGAATTATCACACCATTCATCCCATATGATATCTTCCGATGTTTTTAGCTAACTTGGGAGAACATAGTAATATGTTTTAAAAAAACAATGAACTAATATGACTTTTTGCTCAAAATTATAACATAACATTAACTAATACTTAAACAAGTTATTCATATGCTTCTATTTACTATTTTTTACACATATTAAAATAACTAACAAAATTTGTTATTTTATTTATTTATTTATCTACAATAAATAATATAAAATATTATCGACAAGTTTTAATGAGTATTAATTTGATGGCGAGAGGATCGGCATCGAAGAAGTGGAGGGGGCAACCAACGAACAAGGTCTCACTGCCACCGGTGACACCAAATCTGGCGAATCAGACGATGAGGGAAGTGGATGAGGGAGAAACAAGTGGAGTATTGAAGGAAAATGTGATGGAGAACAACAATTGTGAAGTTGAGAATCAAAAATTAGGGTTTTGTCTAAACACTTAAAAGGGAGAAAGTGAAAATAATATGGAAAATCTAGCGGAGAAGTAAGGGAATAATGGTGCTACAAAGATGTGGGTTGATGTGATTAAGGGGAATCGTAAGACAGCTAACTGAAAAGCACTCAAGTTTGTTGCACCAAAAATAGTGGTGGAAATTGAGCACGAAGATGTTGAATTTGAGATTAGATTTTGGGATACTTTGCTTATCATGTATGCTATTGGTGGTGATTTGAGTATGAATACCGACAAGAGCTATATGATTAAGGAATGGAACTTCGTGCAACTTCCAAAAATGGTTTACAATGATGAAGGATTCTTCATTCTGAAATTATAGACAGAGAAGGAACGCGAGGAAGTGCTATTGAAGGGTCGTTACACAATTTGAAACATGCATATGGTGATCATGGAATGACGATCTGATTTCTCTATGGAGAAAGATATGGTGAGGACAATTCCAATTTAGGTGAAATTCCCTAAGCTTCCAACTCATACGTGGGTTGTGTCAAACTTAGGAAAAATTGGGAGTGTCATTGGTAATTCGCTTTTCCCAAATGAATGTACTACAAATAAATTAAGGGTTACATATGCTCGTATATTGGTGGAAGTGGATGTAACTCAAAAGTTGCATGAGAAAATTGAGATTCACTATGATGGTTGTGATAGAATGCAGAAAGTTGAGTATGAATGGTGGTCATAATATTATGAAAAGTGTCAAAAAGTGGGTCATGTTTGTAATGGGGAGAAGAAACCTTATGTGAAAATGTGGCAGCAAAAATCTGATAAGGAGAAAGGAGAAACTAGTCAAGTGAACAGGATAGGTGAGGAAGGAAAACCAGGAAAATATGAGGTTTATGTGATGCCAAGTGAGGTTACACCTAGCAGAACTGAAAGTCTTGTGAAGTCAACTGAAACTAACGAAGAAGATAGGATTTGGACAGTAGTGCTGAAAGGTAATAAAGATACAGGTAGAACTAAAGTTAATTGTTTAAAGAATATTTTTAGCAACAATGAATTTAGCACCTTAGATCTTTGGAATGACCACAAGCTGAACCCCCTAGGGGACACATGATTATTTCTTGGAATGTTAGGGGGCTAAATAAAGTATCTAAGCAAAAAGAGATTGGCTCCTATCTCTTTAAGCTACAACCTATGATTGTTATTCTTCTTGAAACTAGAGTGAAAAAAGATAATTCTGATAACTGTAGGAGGAAAATGGGTGGTAATTGGAAATCTTATGATAACTATAGTAAACATGTTAATGGGAGAATTTGGTTTACGTGGCAAGAGAGCAGAATTAGAGTTAAGGTTTTGTCTACGACAAAGCAATTGATTCATTGCGGGTTGTATAACCAGGATGACAGTTTTGTTCATTGGATAATTATTATGTATGCATATAATAAGCTTGAGAAGAGAAAGGAACTTTGGAGAGACATTGGTAACATTGGGAAATCCAACAAGGGCCTTGGATTGTGATGAGGGACTTTAACAATGTGCTTGGTAGTCAGGATATAATAGGTGGTAAAGAAGTCAAGGAATCAAAATTTTGTGATCCAGAGATATGATGATAAATACTGGTCTATTTGAACTTGATAGTAAGGGTGAGAAGCTCACATGGTTCAGTAAACATGTTGAGGGCTCTATATATATTCCTGCATTGGTAGAGTCATTGGTAATTTGGAGTGGATTTATAAAAATGATGATAAGACTGTTTATATGCTGGAGCCGAGGGTGTCATACCATGCCCTAGCCTATATTAAATGGGATGAGCATGTTTCTAAACCTAAGGCAGCCTTTAAGTTCATAAATGCAGTGACAGAGATGGAGGGTTACACTAGAGAAGTCAGTAATAACTAGAGGAAGAAATTTAAAGGTCAGCAGAACCAACTGCTCTGGAATACTTATAAGGATGAAACATGTTATTAGGAAGCTACACAAACCCCTTGTTAACATTTCCAGTCAGATTGAGCAGAAGAGACATCAATTGAGAGATATTCAGAATCAAATGATCCATGACAGAATGAACACCAATCTCATAATGCACGAAAAGATATGAACTGAGGAATTATTGAAGCTGAATGATTGGGAGAAGCAAATTCTGAGGCATAAGGCTAAAATAGAGTGGATTAGAAAAGGGGATGGAAATAATAATTACTTCCATGCTGCCTTGAAAAGCAAAAATAGTCATAAAAGGACCATTCATATGAACAACGATAATGGTGAAATATGTGAGAACCCTGAAACCATTGAAAAGAAGGTTCTTGAGTTTTAGAAAGGGCTTATGGTAACTGCTGATTCCAACCTGCACGGGGTGGATATTGTAGCTCTGAGAAGATGGAATCAATTGAGTAGAGAGCAGAGGGTTATGCTGAGCAACCCAATTTGTGAGAAAGAAGTGTATAAGGCCTTGAAGAGTATTTGTGATCAAACTGATATTGGTATTGATGGGTTTGGATCCAAGTTTTTCAAATACTCTTGGCATGTGGTGAAGGATTATGTGCTCAATACTGTCAAGCTTTTCTTTGAGGATGGGGTTATGGATAATAGGTTTAACAGAACCTTGATGACTATGATTCCTAAGCATGAGAAAGCCACTAATATTAGGGATTTTCGCCCAATATCTTGTTGTACTACTGTTTATAAAGTCATATCCAAAATTATGGCTAATAGGATGAGTAATGTTCTTGGAAGTATTATTAGTAAAAACCAAGCAGCATTTATGCATGGCCAAAAAATTCATGATCACATCCTTGTTGCGCATGAGATTATAAGATGTTATAGAAGAAAAGGGGGAGTTCCTAAATGTATGGTGCAAATGGATATTAGGAAACTTACGATTCTGTGGACTGGAGTGCTTTGCAGACCATCTTAGCATAGATGGGTTTTCTTAGGAGATTTGTCAGTTGGTGATGTTAGTAGTGTCTACATTGTCATACCAGTTCAATATCAATGGCAAAGCCTCTATGAGCATGAAGGCAACTAGGGGATTGAGACAGGGTGATCCCATCTCTCCCCTTCTATTTGTTGTCATTATGGAGTATCTCCATATAAAGTTGGATAAACTGAGCACAATTCCTAATTTTAACTATCATAGCAAGTGTGAGAAGTTGAAATTAGTTGATTTAAGTTTTGCTAATGACCTCTTAATCTTCACTAGAGGTGATAATATTTCTGTTCAGTTGATGATGGATATCTTCTCAAATTTCTCTTTGTCCACTGGCTTGAAAGTTAACCCTAGCAAATATAAACTATGCTGTGGTGGTTTGAATGTTAAAGAGCAGGCTAATCTGGAGCAAATTATTGGGTTTAATAGAGGCAACATTCCTTTCAATTACTTAGGGATTCCTCTAAATAATAGAAAGTTATCTTCTAATCAGTGTTTGGCCCTAGCTGAAAAAATTAGTGCTAAAATTAGACATTGGAGAGCTCTCACTTGCTCATCTATGCTGGTAGGGTTCAATTAGTGAATAGTGTGATCTTTGGTTGTGCCAATTATTGGATGAGATGTCTTCCTTTGCCCAAAGGTGTGACTAAGAAGCTAACGACTATTTACAGATCCTTTGTTTAGTTTGGTAAAGATGCTAGTACTAGGAAGTCTCCTCTGGCTTGGGATATGGTTTATGCTCCTAAAAATCAAGGAGGGTTAGGGATTCTCAACTTGGCTGTGCGGAATAAAGTGTGTATGTGCCGATTGCTTTGGAGTTTAAGTAGCAAAGCTGATAACATGTGGGTAAGGTGGACTCATGCCTATTATGTGAAGAATGCTGACATAATGCAAATAGAAGTCAAAGAAAATGGTTCTTGGATTCTGAGAAGCATCCTTAAATTTAGGGTTGAAGCTATGAGGCTGACTCAGTGGGGTAACTTGAAGAGTAATGGGAAATACCCCATGAAAAAGTGTTATTTGGAGTTTTTGAAGCATATGCCTAAAGCTGATTAGGGTAGATTAGTTAGGAGGACTATAGCTAGGCCTCATGCAGTATTTTTGTTGTGTCTTGCTTGCCATAAAAGGTTGCCTACTAAAGGCAGATTGACGAAGATTGACATCTTCCACTAGCCTAGTTGCTTGTTCTGTAACTGTACTGAATCTATTCACCATCTGTTTTTCGATTGTAAGTTTACGAATAAAATTTGGAAGGAAGTCCTTAGGTGGTTGAATGTTAGTCACAAGGTTCAAGACTAGGATCAAGAGCTTGTGTGACCTGTGAAAGTTTGTAGGAGCAAGATTTGGCACAACCAGTTTATGAAGATTGCTATAGCAGAAATAATTTATGAGATCTGGTGGGATAGAAATAGAGTTGTCTATAACAAGGATTATACTAATAGAAATACTGTTAAGATCATTGTGGATAATATAATGAATAGAGTGTGGGTTTCTCTCAAGTTTAGAAATAGAATAAACCAACTCTTATTGCCTTAATTAGGTGGGTCGAAGTGGATTATGTTCTTAGTTAGATCCTTTGGGTTGCTTTGTATCCATTTGTTTTTTTGGTTAATATAATATTTATTTCCAAAAAAAATAAAAATTAATGAGTATTATATTTAACTTTAAAAATTACAAGTAAGTAAAAAGGAAAAAAATCTCACAACAAATAAATAGGATTGGAGGAAATAATAGCTAAAGATATCTCTAAACCATATATTTACCATTCTTAGGTTAGCTAGATTAATTTAGCTCAACTCTTAACTTCATAATACATTACTAGACACGTGGCACATCATGCTCATAGATCATTATTTTAAAGAAAAAATTCATTCATGGAAATCTAATTATATGTAGTACATTAATCTCATACACTACATTAAAATTCAATATGTTAAATTGGTGAATACAATTCATTCACAATTCATTCAATTGATCCCTATTAAGTCATTAATAGACGTGGGATTAATTTGGAAATCTCCACACTTATGGCATACAAATTTAATTATTAAACTATTTAATCAAAACAAACTCTACTTGTTGAAGTGTCTCTAATTTAATCAATTAATTAATAGTGTTCATTAAAATAAAGTAGTTTATACTACTTAACTTTTTTTTTTAAATTAAAAAAAAACTTTTAAAAATTTATATTTGAATTTAATATATTTTCTGAGAGATGAAAATAAAGAAAAAAAATATAAAGACGAAAAATAAATTTATCCCTTAAAAGAATAATTTTGTTTTTCTTTTCCTATTTCTCTCTCTTCTTATCTTGTTTCTCTCTCTTCTCTCGCGCATAGTTTCTTTCTTTCTCTCTCTTCAATTGCGGAACCCAAACACCACGACGGAGCCTCCGACCCGAATCGGACGAGTTGAGTCCAGCTCCGACCACGTTCACGTGCTTCCTCTTCAATCGCATTTCGCTCCCATTTTCTTCTTCTCATTTTCGCTTTCCACACCGAATCTGTAAGCGCTCGATTCCTATTCCGTTTCCCTTTCGATTGATGCTACAATCTCCATTGCTGAAGCTCAAAATTGTTATCTTTTTTCATGGGCGCAGTTCTTCAATTTTGTTTAACTTTTCAGGCATTAGCTTGTGGAATAGGCTAATTTTGTTTCTATTTGTGGTAATTTTGTTTCTAATTTTGTTTGTTTTTGTTTTTTTTTTGGTTTTTTAGGTTTGGGATTTTAGGGTTCTGAAGTTTGTTGTTCTGAAACTGTGTTGGGTATTGATTTGGAGGAGGAAAGGTAAAGAGGGTTAGGGTTTTTTTCTTGAAAGGTTTGATTTTTGTTGGGAGGTTATACTTCAAGAAAGGAAAGGAGGTTAGGGTTAGAGGATAATGTGTATACTGTGTGTGATTCAGAAGTTGTCTCGCCGGGTTGCTACAGTGCTACCATGGTTGGTTATTCCGTTAATAGGGCTATGGGCACTTTCTCAGCTTCTTCCGCCGGCGTTTCGTTTTGAGATTACTTCGCCTCGGTTGGCTTGTGTATTTGTGTTGTTGGTTACTCTCTTTTGGTATGAGATTTTGATGCCTCAGTTGTCGGCTTGGCGGGTGAGGAGGAATGCTAGGCTTAGGGAGAGGAAGAGGTTTGAGGCTTTAGAGATGCAGAAGCTGCGGAAGACTGCTACGAGGAGGTGTCGCAACTGTTATAATCCGTATAGGGATCAAAACCCTGGTGGGGGTCGGTTTATGTGTTCCTATTGTGGGCATGTTTCTAAGAGACCAGCTTTAGACTTACCTCCCGGATTGGCGATTTCGAATTCTGGCATTGTTAAGGAGTTGGTTGGTAAAAGTGGAAAGATATTAAATGGCAAGGGTTGGTCTGAAAATGGATGGATGTGTAGTCAAGACTGGTTGGAGAATGGAAATTGGGTAGGTGGGCCTATTCCAGGTAATCCTAGCAACTGGAAGACTAACGAGAATGCTGGTCTTTTTGGAGGAGATGAGCATTGTGTAACAGAGAGGTCGTATTCTGGTATTTTGTATTTCATTTGTAAACTTTTAACATCTTTTTTCTTGAGCATTAGATGGCTCTGGAGAAAGATTTTTAGAATTAGTTCAAGGGAAGAATGTTCGTCGGATGCTGAACATAGGGCACTAGCAAAACGGGGTGAGAATGGAGAAAGTCTCAATGAAAGTAGAGGGGAAAAAGCACGCAGGAAAGCCGAGGAAAAAAGGCAGGCAAGGCTAGAGAAAGAACTCTTGGAGGAGGAAGAAAGAAAACAGAGGGAGGAGGTTGCTAGGTTAGTGGAGGAGCGTAGGAGACTGAGAGATGAGAAAGCAGAAGCTGAAAAAGATCGAATGAGATCATTAAATCCGAGTAAGGAGACAAACAGCAGGAAGGAAACTGAAAAGAAGCGGCAGGAAAAAAGAAGAGATAAAGATAAAGGTTCTAGTAAGAGCAACTCTGATGTGGAAGAATTGGAAAGAAGAGCTGGAAAGGAAAATGAACGGAAGCGTGATGTCGAGAAAAAATGTGAAACAGATCGTAGAGAGCATCAGAAATCTGGGTTAGAGAATGGCAAGGGACAGAGTACAGACAATGCACATAGTAAAAATATGACTGCAAACAATTATAATCGAGGAAATACTGGAACCAGGTACTTTGATCGCGTGCGTGGTACATTTCTGTCCTCTTCGAAAGCATTTGGTTTTGGAAGGGGAACTAGTAGTCCTGCCACTGTGGTGAAAGAAACCAAGTTTAACAGTTCTGCAGATCATGTTTATAATTCCGCCAGCAAGAGAGATATCTGTCCTCCTGAACGTCCAACTGCAAAAACCAATTCGAATGGAGATGAAAGGAATATCAATCACTCTGTAAGTTGCCTTCTGTCTGTTTTATTTTTTGCGCCTTTTCATAATATTGTTATTGTTGAAGGCCGATTGTTTTGGAACATTAAGAGCTTAATGTTATGCGGATTTTACAAATTAGCGCTATAATCAAATGTCTCTCTTTTTACTAACTTTCAATGTGTCTGTTAACGTTCTAAACTTTTGGTCTCCGAGATTCATGAACAAAATTATACGATGCTTCCTTTAATATTTCTCCCTCCGTCTCACAATATGTGTCCTTTTTGAGATTTTCACATTTTTTAAGATAATGGTTAATTGTGTTGATTTCAATGATAGAACAAATGTTATTTACTGAAATAACCTTATTAACAATAGATAGTGGGGTATTTTTATGATTTAAAATACAATAAATAAGGGTAAGTTAGTGGGAAATAAATAATAAATGTCACATTGGTATTCTAAAAGGACAAATAATTTGAGACAAATAAAAATAGGAAAGAGGACACCTATTGTGAGACGGAGGGAGTAATTGCTTGTATATATAATTCCGATAGTTTTATTAAAAAATTCTTTAAGATAAACATTATTACCATGATTGTTCTCTGCAGGTACTCCCAGAACCGAAGCCATGGACGGCGCCTAAAATGTCATGGCATCAGTTATTTACTCGATCTTCATCTGTTCCACAATCTTCAAATTCAAATGTAATATGTAGACCAAATTCCAAAACTCAAGCAGAAGCCAAAAGCCCTCAGTCATCTGGCCAGTCACCAGTTACTCGATCTTTTAATAATCCAATTCATTTTGGTCTTCCGTCGCCGTTTAATATTTCCACCCACCCAAATGGTGGATCAACCAGTAGTAGTTTAGGTTTTTCTCCTGCAATTGAACAGTTATTCTCTCCAGTTAGAAATGCATCACATGATTTTAGACACGATGAGCAAGAGCTTTTTGAAGACCCGTGTTATGATCCGATTCCAGCTTCCTTGCTTGGGCCTGTTTCAGAGTCCCTTGATAATTTTCAGTTGGACTTGGGAACTGGCTTTGGGACAGACATGGAAATAGCAAAGCCTCACTCTTTAAAAAACATATCTGCTGGTTCCGATTTCAATAAGCTATCTCCGATTGAGTCCCCATTGTCCCGGGAAAAGCATGCTTCTCCTGCAGATGATGCAGCTGCAAGTGATAAGGGAACATGGCAGATGTGGAGTACTTCACCACTTGGTCAGGAAGGTTTAGGCTTGGTAGGTGGCCCAGGAAGTTGGCTATTATCTTCACAGAGAAATGTGCCAAACAAGGATGATTTTATGCTTCCATCTCAGAAGACTATGGCTTCCCTTTTCAACAAAGATGATAACTTGATTTCCAATACACATTCCCCTCAGAATGTTTTTCTTCCTAATGGTCAGAGTGGCGGGAACATTAGCCCTGTTACAAGTTCAAATAGTTATGATCCTTGGTCTCAAAGTACTTTCTTCCCACCATTTTCAAGTGGCTTTACAAGCCAGGAGGTAGCTCCACAGAATGAAATTATATATGGAAGTCCCAATGGAACTACTACTAGCCATTTACTTGAGGGTTCTCCAGATAACAGTTGGTCCAAGTGAGTAATAACTATTTGGCTTCTTTTTTCTGTTTATCATATACGTAATGTAGAATCCTTGCTGTATATGAATCTGTATTGCTAACCATTTTAAATGTATGAAACTTCTTTTGGCAAATAAATAAGAAAAACAATTCCCTTATTTTGTTTTCCCAAATGAATTGTAGAGCTCAAAATATTGATAGGTTATTTTGTATTTTTCTATTTTAGTGAGATTTATCATGCTTTGTTGACAAGTGATAGAATTATGATACAAGTGCACCTGGTTTCTATCTATATGCAATGACAATATTTCGTCGCATTTGTCACGACCAATTATATTTCAACGTGAGTGCATATCTCTAAGTATTTGTGGTGTTTATTCTAAGTTTGGCCTTAAGCTGATTCTGGAACTACGGGGTACATATTGAAACTCTGACTCAAGTCAATCAACTCTTGCTAATTTAGAATGCCTATTATGTAGGGTATTTTTGAACAGATAGATTCAATTGAATTTTAAATTTAATTCTTCCTTATAGAAAACAGGCTACATTAGAACTACCTTCATGTCAAAATGATAATGGACTGCTCTTGATGCTTGTTGGTAATAGCTCGACTGTTAGACTACTGTACTCACTAAAAAAGTGGTATATGCTTCTAAACTGCTGTCATATCCAGCCTGTACTTCTTCGTAGAAGAATCAAGAGTTCTAAATTGATAGGGATAAGAGATTAAGTAAATTGAAATAGATAGCCTCAATGTGATCTTATAGAATTGCAGTTTTTAAATATTTCCCTAACAATTAATGCGATTTGTACACTCTTTTTAACACTCTTTTCTACTCATTTCTTATGATCAGCTCATTATTAAAAAAATCTCCCAACACATTGATAATGGATCAATATTTGTAATAATACATTAATTTTTTTGAAAATGATTCACCGGCAATATGTTGAAGAATGTGTCAGAAGGATGTCACTAGCATTCCATTTTCCCTAATTTTGGTTTTTTCCGTTGTCCAGTGGCCACATATTGATTCAACGAAGTAGACATGGATTGGTGGATTTATGCTGTTTCATTAAGTAAATATGGATTTAGTTGCATGTTAAAAGTAAAATAATTACGAGAATTTATCTGCATGCAGTGTATGCTGTTTTACTCATGAAATTGTAAGTTTTGTATTGGCATGGGTCAAAAAAGGATTTAGATGGTAGTGTTGGACTGCGTACTTGTTTTGCATATATTCTGCTGTTTACCATACAATCATGCTCGTAGGTAAGTCCTTGTTGTAATCAATTTGATTGACCTTTCTAGATAGAGCTTTGCAGATAAACTTGCAGCTAAACTGGTGTAAAGTGTAAACTAATGACTTGTTGAACTGAAGAATAAAGAAACAAACAATCATCATAAAAATGAAAAGGGAATATTTTATTACATCCGAAATATTGGCACTGGCGCAGTCTACATGTCTTGTAATGTATTTAGGCATAGGTTGACCCTTGTGACTTCTTGTGCTGACTTTGATGTAATTTGTGACCCTTTTGATGTTTGTGCTGATATAGAGTTATATAATTAGTATAAATGATTGAAACTGATGGCTTATGATTTTTGTTTACTTTGCAGAAAGGAATGGCCTATACATGGTTCCACGGAAAGCGTAGGGAAGTCATCTAATACACGTCTGCTTAATGGAGGTCTACAACCAACCTCAGATGTACAGTCGTTTTGGTCAATAGGATGACAGTGACAGGGTAAGAGGGGGCATGATAGACACAAATGTTGTTGAGGCAATACTATAGTATAGCCTCATTCGTTTGGGGGGAAGAGTTTACAATTTGTATCTTCCTTCTTTTATGAGGGAAGATTAATGTTTACATGACATTAGCAATGATGATAGGAATACATGTTGGATGCATGGCAACAAAGAGAGAGGTTCCCCCCATTTTGAAGTAAAATTTCTGTCCTTTGGAGAATGGTGCCTTTGCATTCCCTCTCCTTGTCATAATATGATCTCAAATATGCAGCAATTGATCACCCTTGTATGGAAAATTAACTAACATGACTCACTGCCTCTGAAAATAGTAATGTTTCTGTATGTCTCGTAATTTTAAAAATCGAGCTGCGTCGTTGTTGATCACATGGTGCACAAAGTTGGGTGTGATCCTACTCAGAGTTTAATGAATATGCACTAATAGTAAAAAGAGTTTTACAAGTCATACAATCATATCATACATAGATATTTATGGAAAATGTTGCTATTTTCTCACTAAAATACACTAACACAATTTTCTCACTATTCTCTCTTTTTTTAGAAATATTACTAAAATAGTATATCTTACAATTTTCTCACAAATTTCCATATAAAAGAGTGTAGTATTTGAAGAGTGTTTTGGATTGATATTAATTGAAATATTTTAGGATATGAGATGATCATTGGATGGCGGTTAGTAATTAAAACCTTTGGTTAAATCATTCACACTAAATGCTTGTTGCTCTTTTTTGACACTACCAAATATGAGTTCAGCTATGCTTCATTTACTCCATTAAGGTTTAATTTAGGAACTAAAGAAACACCCATGAGATATTTTTATGTTAAATGTTTGCAAAATATAAAATAGAATATATTTAATTAGTTAAATAAGTGTAATATAAAATTTAATTGATATAATTGAAATTTATCTTTATGTCCCAAATTATAAGACATATTGTAAAAAAATATTGTTTCAAATTATAAGTCATTTTACAATTTCAATATAACATTTATAATTTTCTTTTAATATAGCTTAAAGTATTTAGATTTTTTTTTTTAATATAGCTTAAAATATTTATTTATTTTTTGTTTTAATTCTTCTAATTTCTCTCTTTTTCATATAATAATAATTTATTTATTTTTAATTTGTACAAAATATCCAAAACGTAAAAAATATAATAGTATAAGAATTTATTTCATCAAGTGACTGCACTTTCAACGTTAAAAAATGACATGACTCTGATGGTAACAATTTTGTTTTAAATACATGCACTAAATTGTTGGGATTTATTTTACAAAATTTTGTTTTAAATACATGCACTAAAAGTTGTTGGGATTTATTTTTACAAATTTGAAGAAGATTCGATTTTGTTTTAAATACATGCACTCATCCGGTGGACATTTTTTCTTCATTTTTACATTTATTAAAGACAATAATTAACTTGTACTTTTTTTCATCGATGGAAATTTAGCTTTTATTTTTGTATATTATTCAATGACGAATTATTCTTACATTTTTTTTTAAATATATATTAATAACAAATATGTCACGTATTTCTTTATATTTATCAATGTATTATATATTTTTAAGTATTTTTATGTATCAATGACAAATATATATTAAGTAATGACAAATACTCGTCATGTATTTCTTATACTTATCAGTGATATATATGTGTCTTATATATTTTTATTTATCAGAGATAAATATTTGTTATGTATTTTATTTTGATAGATCAAATATATTTCAGCAATGTTTTGTTTGTGTAAATTGTCGTTCACGTTCAAATTGATTAAAGAGTGATTTGGATAAAATAATTGGTATAAAAGTGACTTGAATAAAATTGAAGTATAAAAAAAATATAGTCGATGTATTATAATTATTGACGTTTTTATTTTGACACATTAAAAAATTAATTTTTATTTATAAAAAACGCTAATTTGAACTATATTTTTATTTAAAAAAAACTCTTGTCATGGTTTTTATAGTAAATTTAAATTAATATTTTATAATTATATTTTTTATTTATTTAAATGTATATAAAAACTACTAAATTTAAGTAGTTGATAAATGACAAACTAATATTTATCTCATATGAATTGTATTTCTCAACAACTCTTTTATTAATTCATTAAAAAATTGAAGAATGAAAATTTATAATTAATATATTATAATTATCACATGATGAAGTTTTGAACATCTTAAGAATCATATATTCTTTAAATGTATTTGACATAAGAATACAATAGGAATCCAAAAGCCAATGAAAAGACCGCTAGATCAAAAGAACTTCTCGAATAAACCACTCATCCAAAGATAATTTTTATTATAATTTGTCTTCATCTCACACACATTATTCTTTGTCATTAACTTCCCAAAATGAATATAAAACCTATATAGAGGTCTGCAAGTTTTAATGGTTGAACCAAGCCATGCAACTTGAACTTAATGTCCTTAAGAAAACAGGAAAGGAAAGCTTGTGGGCTTACCCTCAAATGTTAAGCCAATTTATTGCATGTTGATTTACAAAATAAATCACCTATCTAATGGTTCAATTGATAGGTTCAAACCTAGATTAGTTGCAAAAGATACAATCAAATTGAAGGCTTTGATTATTTTGATACATACTCTTCGGTTGCCAAATTTATAATTGTCAGGACTGTAATAACATTGGCTTCCCTCAATCATTGGTATTTATATTAGTTAGATGTACGCAACGCCTTCTTGCATGGTGAACTCCAAGAAGATGTTTACAAGATTGTTTCTTCTGTTGTTACTACTATCAAACCTAATCAAGTTTGTAAGTTTATCAAATTTCTTTATAGGCTTAAACAAGCTAGCATTAGATGGCATGAAAGACTTACCTAATTTCTCATACAACAACATTACAAGCAAGCTGGTGCATGTGACTCATTATTTGTCAAGAACGATTCATCGTCCATTAATATCCTTCTGATTTATGTAGATAATGTGATAATCACGGGTAATAATCTTGATGAATTCAAATTCATTAAACAATCCCTGCATAATTCTTTAAGATAAAAAATTTAGGCCTATTAAAATACTTTTTAGGCATTGAAGTAACATGTAACACCCTTCTAACCCACATACATTTCGCATATAATTTCTCAAAAAATAAAATCAAATAAAGACCACAGAAGGGCATCACATCTTCATAGAACATCAAATAACAATTAAATCATGCTCCGTAACACAGGTTGCAAAGAAACCATTGATTATAATCTCTAGTAACCACAAACAATTCACTTCAAACTTCGCTGCAGAATTAATGAGTCATATCTTCTACATAAAATATTCTCAAATACCACGAAACGTAGTTCAAATATCATTAACATCATCACACTTCATGTTTATAACATCATAGCCTTTACATGGTAAAAGTCATGATAGAAATACAAAATCTCAAAATCTCAAAATATGCAAAGTTCGCAACCAATCAATCCCAACCCCGATGTTACATATTAGAGTAAGACTCCCTTTATTCAACAAAAGTAAATAAACACACTTTGAAGCTATCCTCTAATACTTCTATGGAATTTTCTCGATCACTTGCGTGTTACTCACGTGGAGGCAACATTCAAACTGAAATGTTGAGTAAATCATGATCATTATAAAAGACAAAAGGGATAAATATAGTAGACATTCACAAAGACAAGACACCAAACATCATAATAACTTCATGTTATACTTACACCTTCACAAACGTCATCAATTCACAACAACATATGATCAAAATATCATTTATCAACAAATACCATTTAATCACATTATTATGCAATGTCACATAAAATGCAATGCATCGTTGTAGACTCATGCATGTGGTACCAAAACTTCAGTGATGACTCAGTCAACATTATCTCCAAAGATCTCCACCAATAGGATCGATTCTCGCTTGGAACCAGAGCACTTTATAATTTTGCACTCAATCCACACTATAGGATTGATGCCTTCACTGAACAATTGTCATATCATCTTCACTGGACCGAAGTCCTAATAACATTACTGGACCGAAGTCCTAAACTATACCATGAATGTATGATTCACAACAACATAATAAAAACAACCACAAATAGTCAAAACGCATCATCATTCATGATTTCACCATAATATCATCATATCATCTCATGTAAGCAAACATCATCATTATATCATCTTAAATAAATAACATATTGTTATAATCCAACATTGGGAAACTAACTTCATCCTAGTTTAGATATTGGGGAAATACTTATTTTATCTCATTTTATTCCATCTAACTAAAGTTCATTGCGTTAGCTATCCAATACTTTGAATGACACCTCAATCTGAGTCTTAAAACTCGAATTACGACTCTTTTAAGAAAATCTAACACAACCAATTGAATGTGGACACTATCGCCCGACAACATACTTACATCGCCTGGCAACACTTTAATCACCACCTACTTTGCCCAGATACGCTTGGAGTGATGCACTTCAGTAGCTTCACTATTTTCTGCCCTTCGTCGCTCCCATTTTTGCCTAGCGACGGCCACACGATAACACCATCGCCCGATGACGCTTCTCCATCTCCCGACGACATAGCTCAAACAGGGTTTTCCTGTTGCGATTTCCTGCATAATAACCAGTTCCAATCTTATAATTTCTGCATATTATAGGTCCTAAAACATCATCTAATCACATGGTTTTCACCAAATAACAACAATGCAATGCATTCTACATTATGGATACAATTTGTTTACAATCCAAGACCATAAAACATCATCTAATTCATCTTATTATCACATTTCACAATAAAAACCCATCACAATATACATCAATCTAAACCTTAAATCGATTATAATAATCAAGAGAAACACCTTTTACCTTGATATTATTGCTAGAAATCAAATCCTCTTTGTGCTCTACTGGGATTCCTATGCTTCTCCTTGCCTCTTTGTGCCCTAGGTCTCTTTCTCCATAGCGTTCTTTCAATTCTACGATCACACAGA